TCAGAAAGAATTCCCCAGAACGATGTAAAAGTCTCATCAGTGAGATCAAAATGCGAGTTCCAATATCAAAAACGAGCGAACTATTAAATTAATTTTTAACTATAACTCCTCTCGAGGAGTTATAAAATTGTTGACATCTGTAGACGAGATATAGACGAGATCTATCAATTAATTATTATCAAAAGTATTTAAGAATAAAAGACTTTAAGAATAGATTAAAAAAAATTGAAAACATCTACAGATAAAAATATATGTATGTTTGACATATTAACAATATGAGTTTTTCATAACAAAGTCAAGTTATCTATACTTACTTTTATAATACTTGAACATATCGATTTGACATTGCTTGAACATATCGATACCTCCCACGTAAGTTGTTGTATCTCCAAAAGTGTAATTTTACAGTAGAGCGTTTTAAAGATTCAAATAAAACCAAAATCTGAATTTATTGATGCATCTTTTTAAAATTTCGTATTTAAATTTAACATAATAGTCTTCTTAACTAAGTTAAACGATAATTTAATTAATATGCCTATTTGCGGAGATATTGTTGTTATATTGTTCATACGACACTTTACTCCGGAGTAGAAACTAAAAAAGGTGTTGTATCTGATATTAACAACATTATACCGCGGCGCCCAGATAGCATCACTTGTAGTATATGATAGTTACAACTGTATACATTGAAAAACAGAAGTCTTACTTTATTGTATGTAACCAATACGCGGGACGAGCGCGTGATTTGACCCACCTCGCGCCCCGCGTATTCAGTTGCATAGGCATATACATCAGTTTAATCCGTTCGCGTTTGAAAATAACAACATTATGAGTCTGACAAATCGTTTAAAAATTGTGTTTTTGTTGTTTTTTTTTTTAATTTGAATGGATTTAATGATCCATAATAGGATATTTTTTCGAAAAAAAGCAAAATAGCATTGTTGTGGCTTACAACAACTTACATGGGAGGTATCGATATATTAAATTTATTTGCATGGGCTGAAAATGTGGTGGATTCCACACAATGCGCTGCTAACTCGGATAATCTCAGGGAGGTGTACAAGACGACGAAGATTTTGACCGTTAATCCAGCCCCGAAGAAAAAGCCCCTGAAGGACAAAAAAGGCGAACTAATTGTGACGTCGGAGGGACAGCTTCAACGCTGCTGTGAACATTTTAAAATCTTATGAGTCGGAAATAGCCCCGTAATGACAACCACAGCTGCCAACCTGCCCGTAGTAAGACTCGACATCGACGAATCTCCACCCACTGAAGAGGAAGTAGTGAAAGTTATCCAGATACTCAAGAACGGTGAAGCTCCTGAACACAACCTCATCACGACGGATATGATAAAAGCAGATATACCTACCGCTACAAACTCGCTAGCACTTCTTTTGCGGAAAATTTGGTCAACCAAAGAGTTATTGGATGACGGTACTAAAGGGCTTCTCATCACCGTGCCTAAAAATGGAGACCTCAGTGAATGCGCCAATTGAAGAGGCATTTCCATGCTCTCGACCCCGTTTAAGGTTCTGTGCATGATTATCCCAGACAGGTTATCCAGAGCAATCAAACCTCTTATTAGTAAAAAACAGGCAAGATTTATTTTTTATAATTTATGTACCAGGCAACGTAAACAAGTTGTTTTCTTTGTCAATGGATAATAATATTTCCATTTTCCTGAGACTACAAATATGATATTTCGGGGTTATCGTCCCAGATTTACGAACAAAAACCTTGGAAGCATCTTTTTTCTTTGTTCTCGAGACTATTCTATTCAGAGACCCTATAAACAAAGACATAAACAAGAAACTCATCACAGTCTATGATGTCCATTAAGGATCCACCTTTTAAGAGTCTTGAAAAGGTGAAGATAAAATTCTTACCGTAAACGGTATTGCGCGTTTAAATTTACCTAGATACGTCTACTTTGCTTCAGTTTTGTAATCACGTGCATTCACTACATATGTAGTTTAAAATATTTCAAGTAAATTTTCAATAAGTATATATTATAAAAAGATGAGTGATTTTATTATTTTATGCAGTCGCCATATGGAAAAGTATGTCAATTAAAATAATTTTGAAATTTAAATTATGATATTAGATATTAAAAAAATATGTTTTAAATAAAAAAAAGCTTTTGAGTTTCAAATTTCGATGTCGGAAATTTGACGAATATTCTATTAAGATTGTTGAAAAATAATTGAATTATTGAAATATAATGTAACATTACTTAATAAAGTATGTAAAAAAGGAACAACTTTTCAGAGGGGGGATTTAATATAACTTTTGAAAAATATGGGTTAGCAAGAAAAATAAATATCATGTTTTCAAAGAAATCGGCGTTTAAGTTAACGCATTTTCTAAGAAAGCTCTCATTTTAAACTTGTCGCATCAAGTTGAAATTCATTGTTAAAGATAAGATTATTTTTTTTTTGCTTTCCCGTAAATCCTCTAGTATATCAGTAGTTTTGTTGATGCTTTTGAAAGTTAAAATATCATGAAATTAGAAAATGGTGTTAAAAAATAAAATAACAGGATTTCCAATAAGCAAATTTATTACTTAAGAATCGTTACACATATCTGCTTAAACTTACGACATGTCAAGAAATCTTTGGAATATCACCGAACGTAATAACAAATTAAGTAATATAACACAACCATACTGTCTGTAAAAGAGATAGTACAGTACCTATATATGTACATTAAAATTATACAAAAATAAATGGCTAATCGCAAAATTAATATAAGATTATAATTTCAGTACATAACATTTATATATATATTTTTTTTTTCAATAGAATTGTTCACGTATAGGTTGTAATATTTAAATATATTTAAAAAAACAAATATTTCTCAAGTCACATGAGATATTAGAGTAGAACAAATTAATTTTATTATTTACATTTACCTTAGACAATATATATAAATATAAATTTTAAAGCATCACAGTGAATTCATATTTAATACAATAATAGATATTATATAATTACAGATTAGTCCAACAAATTCAATTACTTATTATTTCGAAATATTTTATTTCAGTTCTTTAAACAACAGTAAGTATGTTGTATATACAAAGAAGTATAAAGGAAGTAATATTTTTTTTAAATATCCCTATTGTCTGCTTCTTTTCCGATTGACGACTTCGGTACTATAAAATGAAAAATTTTGTTTATTTTATTTCAATTTCATTTGCATTAATATATAATGTTTTCCTCATCATACTACATATTTATTATAATACAAATGAGCAAATCCTTACTGACTTGACAATATTTTTTTAGTATTCACTATTTTTACAAAATTAAGTACATGTTTACAATCTCTATATTGAAGGAAACACTATCCCTTAATATCATTCTCAAAGAGAATTTAAAGTACAAAGTACATATATAATTACTTTTCAATATGACTAAATATAAAATTTTGCCTTTGGAGTCAGTTTTTGCGCTCACCATAAATCTGATTTGATGAAAAACCCTTTTTTGATTATTATTTTTTATTCTTACAATTTATAGTTTATTTACACTTTTACATAGAATTTCATACCCAGAGAAGGTAGGTCAAATTAATACGAATATCTAAGAAAACATGTCATATATGTTACTCTTACAATCAGCAATTGACATAGTGTTATTTATTTTATGCTGATAAAATAATTATTATAATCATGACTAATTCAGGAACAAATGATATATTTGCATTATTTGAGCAATACCAAACGAAGGAAGCATGCATAGAGAAACAAGTGAGTTTAAAACTATCACGTCACTGCGACGATATGTTTTATTCACGTCCTGCGCTTCAAGCCCGTTATCCGCAGCAACGATGCAAGTGATCTTGACATTTGGAGATAAAATTTTTGGAACTAGAGCCCCATTTCATCGTTTACATATATTTAAGGGTTTATTGGAAAATGTTTTAATCGGTTGGATAGCTTTTGCCTTGCTTTTTTTGCAATATCGAATTTGTTATTAAAATATAATCAGAGCCAATTTCTAATACAAATGCATAAATCTAATATAATAGATATGTTTTTTATTGTTAATAAGTAAATACTGTATAATTACCTTTCATAAAGGATATCGCTATGGAATAGGTTTTAAGCTTTATTTACTCAATGTTTATCTATGTATTTCATATATGTTAACCCTAGTTTAGATTGTATATAGGTGGATTCAATTTCATTTTTTGTAATTTGAATCCAAACTGGCGCATGCCGTCCAACCTTTGCAGAAGCCTTTTATTGCTTTAAGAATTACAAACGCTTTGAGCAACTGTTTTACAATTTCCAACTATCCGTCTAAAAAAGATAGAAAAAATGCAAGTAAAATTTTGATTAAAACTTTTGAAATACAACTTTTTTATATCTTTTATCCTGCTCATTTTTACCTTCACTTTATTTACATAGTCAGATTGTTAGAATCGATAATACTATATCATGAAAATTTGTAAATAACCAAACTTTTATCATTGAAATTAATATAACTTCGCGCATGTTTTATTAATTCCAAACGTGTTTTTCTTTTTCTACTTAATTAATGATATTCTAAGATAACTTTATGATTAAAAAGGGAACACTTAAGAACGTCTGACAATAACATATAAACTATTGCGGTTCATTAAATTACTAAGACGATTTTTAGTTTAATAACCTCACGAAACAAGCACAAACGTCACACGACCTCGTTAATTAAAATTTTTATAAATGTATACTAAAGGAGAGTTCTCCTCCATTGGAAAATATAAATCATTGAATATATTAATAGGTTTTATGGATTTTTACAAAAAAAAACCTCATATATCAATAATTGTAATGACATTTCAAACATCACTAATTTTCATAACTGAAATCAGTAAAAGGCCATACCATACCATATAGTTTTCAAAACATTTACTACTTAATTATAATCTTCTGCATAGTTAACAAAAGTTACACAAACGCTTGCCTGTAGAAAAATTTGTTTTCTTCAATATGAAAGATAATTTCTACTATCTTACACACAACTCTCTCTCGCGTTAGTTAAGAGTGTGGTCCGAGTCGTGACGACCTCTCTCCTCCGTGATAGTGTTCCACTCGTCAAACTCCTGCGATCTTCAGTAAGTGTACTGATGCTCTATAAATTGAAGAAAATAAAATAGCAGTCTCTATATGAGTAGAAACTAAGTTCAATGTATTTACTACTAAAATTTTGCTTTATTTTTATGGATTTTAGATAAAAACAAAATAAATATGTAGACTATGATACTTAAGACAAAATTCGTGTTGAATACAATGTATAAATTTCAATATATTCTGTATTTAACTCACCTGTCCATCGGACCCAGGCGTATTAAGAGTATGCGGTGTGTTCGCTCGATCGTGGAGACTGTGTATGGATTTGGACGCACCCACCGGTTGAATATTCGATAGGGCTATCCCGTAAGGCGGAGGTTCCGGAGGGAGCTCAGAATCCCTTGTATAATTGAAGTCTGAGCAAACAAAAACAAGATTCAGTATAATGGATTCTTACAGAAAAGTCAACTTTTAATCAGTTTAAAAACCAAACAAAATTGAAGTTTTAGTTATTATTCCAATTATAAACGAATTAAGAAAATTTTTTTGTTTCCACTGTTTAGTTGTATAAATAATCAAAGCACAGTTCACTCATATAGATTCTTGTTAAGACAACAAATAAATAAATTTGGAAGTGTAAAAATAAATACCATAAGTAAATGTTTAAAATGTTAAAATATGCATAAAAAATATTATTTGTAAGAATGATTTAAATTATATATAAAAATACATTGCAATATTATTTTAAAGGTTTATTTATTAACTCTCTTTATTGAAATGAAAACAAACAATGTGAATGGTATGCTCGTAAAAAATACACAAACACACTCACCTTTTCCGAGAGGTACTACGTCTGGGTTCTTGTCATCTTGTACAGGGGAATGGTTGGAACTATGAATTGCATCTTTACAAACTTTCATAGTTTGTAATGGAACTAAAAAATATAAGATTTTTTTTAATTTATTATTAAAAAAGTCACTTTAAATTTCTTTATTTTATATTCGAAAGAGTTAACATTGAAGGGTAACTTCTGATATTCGTAAGAGCTTTTTATATAAAATATTTTTGTCACTATCTGTCGACCAGTTTGACTGAAAATAATTATAGAAATTTACACCTTTAGCCCCCAGCGGGTTTTGGATGTATTTTAAAATATGTTACGTCAAAAGTAAATATTATTTATAAGCTTGCATATCCAGTAAGGATTTCGATTAAAGTTTCATAGAACTATTTATCTTAAAATATTCTAAAACGAAACAATACCGTCGATATTCCGTGTCGATATAATAAGATTGTAGTCTGACATGCTAAAACACATTTAGGAACAAGATTTTGTCGACGGCTGGTACTATCCTGGTACAGATTTATTATTATAATTAACAATAAGGTATACAAATAACGTTAATATAATATACAATGATGTAACAAAAGGCTGCTACGGAATTTTATGGAAAGATAAAGTTTTTTTTTGTAATTTGGTAAATAAATTATGAGAACTTTATTACATTTAAAACAGATCATGTAATTTAATATTGTATTCTGAATATTGGAAATCATAACACGATTTTCCTTTTTTTGGTCCCACTAGTGTAGAGATAACTTAATAAAAATTTTGGCAACTGAATCACGAAACATCTGCAATATCTGTTGAAATGCAGTAAAAGGAGTCTGTAACTTAAAAAGGCGTAATAGTAATGTTATTTATCCCTCACTTTAAACTATTTCAATTAACTTTGTGATTTACAGTTTTCTAAAGCGTTATTGTTATTGCTTTTCTAATCGGATTTTTAATTATTTTCTTTTATAATTAAAATTAAGATAATAAATTAGTATTTTCTAAGCACCCTTGATTTCATACAGAGACAAAAACGTTAATGTTCGTTTTACACTTCATATGTTAACAGTACCGAAAAAAAATATCGTTCAAATATACAAGGTATTACAACCGTTTTTAAGACTTTAGACGCATTATTTTTAGTTTTATATTTGAGTAATGATTTTATTATTACATAAATATCTTCCAAGGTAATCCCTATCAGTCAGCCAATTTATTTTTATTACTATGCCGTGCGTGGTTAATTCACATTTCAAAATACATCGTTTTGAAAAATGGTTTTTACGACATCCCTTTTCATAAAACACTTGATTGCTTTATCAAAATATAAAAAAAATATTAACGACATTAAAAATCAAATCAAATGCATTATAAATAAAATTTGAAATATTTTGTCACTGCGGGTGATAATGTTGTCATAAAAATTCAAACTTCAACCATTTACAAGTTATCCCGTAGATATTCTGCACGCGATGCGATAATGTATGTTACCACAATGAAACCATTAAAGCTTCACTATGAGATAAAGCTGTTTTGAAATGAATTTGGTAAACGTTTTTACAACGCGTAAACATTGCATTTTGGTGAAATGTAAATTGAATCTTTAATTAAATATCAATGGATAAGGGAGATCTTTAAGTAGTAATAACGAAATTGTATATGTGTATGCAAAGTAAACTTACCCTGATGGTCTTGTTCTTAACATACGAGTTGACTTTTTAAAGAATAATCTTTTGGTTTTATAAAAACTACACAATTTTAAACATTTACCATCACATCCCAAAGGCCTCTGAAGCCGTCGAGGCAAGATGATAATTACAGCAACAGCAGCAAGCGTACCCAATGCACCCACTACTATACCCAGAGCCCATTTTGGGTCAATTATCATATAATTCTCTTCTGTGTAATTAAATTGAATATTTTTAAATTAATTAAGACAATAGTTCAAAATATTACCAACATTAAATGATATAAATTAAGTTTATGTCTTCAAAAATTTACCCGTATGTAAAGCTAATCTCGACGTGTGTATTCTAAGCGTAGTTATTTTAGATCTCCCCCTCGCATTTTTAGCGTAAAACACGAGTTGTAATGCCTTTCCCGAACTCAGCCCTTGTAATTTCCAAAAAGGAAGTATTGCTGACATATTTGCTATTAATTCATCCGATTCCCATGCTTCCACAAAATACGTAGTTTGGAGACCTCCATCGTAGCCTAGGATAAGAAATATGTAGTTATAAACTTTAAATTATAGTATTTTATCATAAATAAAACAACAAAGAATTAAATCAATAAGAACCTCACACTTACCAGCAACACACTTTACTTCGGCTGAGTCATCAGTCAAGTTCAAGGTGTAACAGTTAGCAGGAGGGTCAGGCTTGACGGCCGGTAGCAGGGTGTATCTGCAAGGCTCTATTTGTTGTCCAGCCAAGTTTGTAGCTCGACAGGCCAATGACCCATAGTCCATGTCAGAAATTGGTACGTACTTGAGAATTGATCTACCCGATTTTTCTATAGTGAACTTTCCCTGTTTTAATATTTAATTTTTGAGTTGCAAGTAACAAATATTATTGATGTAAGTAAATACAAAGTATGTGCTACGTTATAAAGTTTTTATTATGTTTGAGTGTTTACGTAAGTGTATACAGTCGGTATAATATTTACCTTATCTAGTCTCTTAAAAATATCATTCAAATAATCCAACAAACAAACTAAACAAATATGAATAACAGTCATTCTTTAAGGTAAAACTTTTTAAATTACATGCGATTTTTGAAGCTAAAAGTAATATTTTCATATTAACTATTTGTAAGATACGTGTAGTATATCGAAAATATTAGTTTTATTTCCATGAAAGTCTTACATATCATGAATTGATTACGGGTTACGGTTAGAGAAATATAATCGAAAATAAATTCAAAACTCAAGCAATCACTAAAATGAATAATATTATTTAGATTTATTTTCCTAATATCATAAGGTTCGATCGCACAAAATTATAATAGATAAGATTAGTCAATCTTATGACGAACGATTTTCCAATAAAAAAAATAACATGATTTCCAATTTCAAATTTATTTAATACGAATGTAATAGAAGATAATATAATATGTAATTTCAATTCAAATTGTAATCATCTCAAATATACTCATGCTCAAATTTTACACATACTACTAATTTTATTTTACTATACTATTTATATTCTAAGTTAAATGATAATATGCTTAGCATACGCTATATTGTGTTGACTTTTTTCACTATTCAACTTTAGTAAACTTAGTAAAATGAATCCTTTGCAACAGGAGAGTACTGTCGCCTGAAATACAGGTTTATACCTAGCTCAGGGACAGTAGATTTTATTTACATATAATACCTTTTACCTTTATGCATTGTGATCAGATTATGTCAATGTCTATACAATTGTAATGTGTTTGAGATAAATAAACATTATTATTATTATATTATATGTAATAAATACAAGAAAATGAATTAAATAGTGGAATTTTAAACAAATTGTGTTAAATATATATAATTTATGTCAATATTTATTCCGAACTCAAGGGCACTGATAATACGTAAATTATAGAAAATTGACTTTGAAAAGATAAGAATTTTATCAGAAGTAGGCCAAAATATTTTTTTTATTATTATTATTAATTATAAACGAGAAATTAATAAACACATGTTTTACTTTAATACGGAAGTAAAATAAAGTACTCACTGCATCTAACTCAGTAGTTCCCAACGTGTTATTGAGTGTCCATTGAAAGTTTTTCGGCAGTGGGAAGGCGTCGACTTCACAACTGATTCTAACTGCTTCATTGATAGCTGCGCCTACAATTGCTGTCACGGTGGTCTTGCATAAAGGTTTATCTGTATTAAAGAGTTTTTTAATTTTATCTCCAGGGTTACATTTTATATACCCCATAAAACTCTAAAAGCATAGATGAATAAAACTTTATTATTTCATATGGTAAAATATTTGTATCGTAGAAATATTTAAATAGCTTCAAAATAAATAAAAAAGAAAATTGGGAGCTTTTCTTCCTTGATGAACTTCTATAGAAATATTTTTTTTGCGATTAATGATTTTCACTTGGAAGATTTCAAGTGAACACGATTTGTTAATTTTAATAACTTTGCTTAGACCGGGTATTAAATATTTTTTATGATTATGAAAATTACTGCAAAGTAATAATCAAAAATTTAATAACCGACTCATTTAGGATATACAAATAAAGTTAAATGTTTATGATTTGTTTTATTTGAACATATACACTATAATTATAATATATTAATAAAATACTGAATAAAGATAATGTATCTTAAAAAAATATTATGATGTGGGCTTGTCATAATATTTTGTAAATACATCTTATTAATAGTAATATTATTTTTAAATTGATTGATTTAATTTAAAAATAATATTACTAATAATATAACTATTAATATTAGTTGAAAACAACCTTTGTCAATATATTTTAGAAATTAATTATTAATTAATTTTCTAAAATATCACATAAAATGTTGAAATAAGTACAACATTTATCCAAAAGTCGTCAATTTTGTTACGTTGCTATTACAAATTAAAATATGATTTTTATGTTAATATCAATGTAATTAAATTATAATTATTAGTTGGAAATAATTATTTATCTCACTTTCTTAGTAGTAAATAAAAAGATTTATTTTCATACAATTACTACGTGATTGTTTCTATATCCATTTACAATACATTTAGGGAACACACTTTTAATTTGAACCGAACCTTTAAATTCATGGTTTGACATTTGGTTTGTGGAAGCGGGAGAGTATTTTATCAACAGGATTTGTGTCTTTGTAATTTGAATTTAAATTATGGTGTTTAGGTTTAAGATAATAATTATTTTTCCTATTTAATGTTTTATTTAGTTATTTAAAGTAGTACTGGCTAAGAAAACTATATTTTTTAATAATTTTGTTAGAATCCTAAATATACATTTAAAAATAATAACAGTTCTATTAAAAAAAATAATTATAATATGGATCGGTAGCAATGGCCTATAATATTCATTACTCGTTGAACTTATTATGGCTATAAAATTCACGAATTCATTTAATAATATACACCTAACATTACCATTTACCGTTGAATCCTATGTCGATAAAGTTAAATTATCAAAAGAAAAAGGTTACAGAGCTTCTAGTTTCCCATCTGTTCACGTAAAGTTTTTAGACCGTCTTCAATGACCCGTTGAATGATTAAACGAAACAGCAGCTATAAATTGTTAAAGATAGGTACTTTAACGAAATAAACTTACGTTGAAAGTGAAACGTTAAAGTATAAGCTCAATAATACATAGTAAGTAAACATTAGACGTTATAAGTCTCACACTGTCGGTGTCACTAATGAGGTTTTGCCAATATAAGAGATGAAAAAAATGATTTGCTCTATTCTGTCTGTATCAGACAATTCAAGCGGTATATGAAGAGCTTATAAAACATTATTATTGTTTTATATTTTATTAAACTGTTTCAACTATCATATTTCTGAAATATACTGGATTGATTAATTTATAATAATTATTTCTTTTATTACAATCATACATTCAACTCCAGTACTTACAATTTATCCTTTTCAAAATAAAACCTTTTAAGCGATACTACGATATATGTGAAGACAGGCAAATACGTAATTAAATAGAAATAATTAAAAAAAGTATCAGAACGTACATCAGTAAGCATTTAATTCTATATCTTCTATATATATAAAAATGGATTGCTGTTCCTTAGTCTCGCTAAAACTCGAGAACAGCTGAACGGGTTTATCTTATCTTAGTCTTGAAATGTTCGTGGAGGTTCAGGGAAGGTATAAAAGCTGAAAAAAATTGATTCATTACTGGGAAAACCATAACAACAGCCCTTTTCTATTTCACATACAAACGTTTTTTTTACATTAGATTTGACAACTAACTATGTAATATGTCAATCATTCTGTCGCATTTAACCCTTAATTTGGCAGAAGTTCAATGTGTTATATATATGTAAAATTTATGTATATTTATAAGTTTAGGGTAGTAAGGAATCCGAAAAAAATAAAAAAAAAATTTTGCGACCTTCAGGTTGCCAGGAAACCAATGTTCATCAGAGTGAACATTGCCAAATCTGTCGAAAAATACCACTTTATTGTAATGTTTACTGTGATGAACATAATCAAATTAGGGTACACATTCAAACAGGTAGTGGCGGTTTACAAAATATTTTTATTTATATAAAAGACTAAACAAAGACATAACAAAATATCTTTTATAACATAATAGAGCCTCTTCTAGCATTTCACAAAAAACTTTGTATTATTTTGTATGAAAATTGAGAAAACAATTACGAGATTTTTTTCCGGTAACAAAACAGTGTCTACTCGTAATATTATATTTCATGCAGTCATCGTCATCAACCTATCAGCGCCCACTGCTAAGCAAGGCTCCTTTCTCACGTGGAGAAGGTTTGAGCATTAATCACCACGCTTCCTCAAGGACGGGTTAGTGTTTTCAAACTTATAATTGTGAAACTATAAGTCCAGGTTTCCTCACGATGTTTTCCTTCACCGTATGTCAGTGGTGTCTAAATACACTCAGAAAGTACATATGACTCCGAAAATTCACATTGGTACTTGCCAGGTTTGAACCCGCGCCCTCGGCAACGAGAGGCGGACCCTTTAACCACTAGGCCGCCACTGACTTCATGCAGTACACAGTAGTATTTTTTAGGCAATATTTGTACCTCCTCATGTCTTCTTTTGTATTAGGAAAGTGGCAAATATTGTCAGAAATCATGCCACTTACTCCACCTCGCACGTAATTTTTGAATCCCCACTTGTTGGGTTTATCTTTCATGTACTGCTTTCTGTTGCCTGCCTTTCTTCCTTTATAAGCAATCGTCATCTCATCTATACTAAATTTGTTTTCATTTTCTTGCAGCAAACAGTTTTTTCTTATCTTTTCTGCTATTGGTCTTACTTTGTAATATCTATCAGTATCTTCTAAGCTATTATCAGCAAAGTGTAAAAATCTACCAATCTGTTGATAGAGTTTTAAACTCATTACATCTGCTATCGGAGCATACCGGAATCTACTGCTATTATAGTCTAGGTAACTAGGCATTGAGACAATACCCATAAGTACGAGTATATGGATAGCTATAAAATCACGCATTTCGTCTTCTGTCACTTGAATAGATTTGCCAGTTTTTTGACCAGAGTATAGGTTTGATTACCGTAGTAATATCGGTCACAATGTCTGAAGAAAAAAAAATTAAAATATTCTAGGGAATCTGCAGTGGGCAGGAAAGAGGCATCTATTATACATATTATGGTCTTGGTTTTCTTAAATTGTTGCTTGGTGACGGAAGGTGACGCTTTTTTTCAATTTATAGGTTAGTACGAATTTCGGAACTTTCTTTCGTCTTTTAGCCAGTACTGGAGTAATGTGTCTTTGGGCTCGAGTTTTCCTGGTAGCACTTTCAGGAGATGATAAAGGGGCTTCAGACGGAAGAGATGATATAGAAGATAAGGAAGGTATGTTCTCGTAGTTTGGTTCTCTAATTGGCGTAACTGGGCAAATTTGACGTAGAACTGGAGTCAATTGCAATGATTTCTGTAAAATCAAATTCAGGTGGATCGTCCCCAGTGTCAAGATCTTCAGCATCAGGTTCAGGACTGCTTAAAATATGCATTCGCTCTTAAGATGAATCTAGAGATGGTGATGATTTTGGATTAATTTATCATTAGGTATTTGGCATCGTTTACCGTGATGAACATAACAAATTGTAGGTTCTTTATAGGTTATTTGGCAATGTTCATCACAATAAACATAGGCTTTTGGCGGGTCATAAAACTTGAGGATTCACATAAAGGCACATAATTCACACACCAAAATATAACAAATAGTCTAGATAAGTTAGTAAAAGCATTAAAATACTTGAAACAATAGAAAATTAAGTAAAATCTTTATATTTACCTTGCGGAACATAGACGACCTGCTTGGCGCTGACATTTTGCTTTGACAATGATAAGTGAAAGTGTTGTTAGGTGCGTAGACTATTTTTTTACTATTAAAAAATATTATATACGGTACGATAATATTACAAAAAATACGAATTTGGTGTAAAAATATAACGAAATCATTTTTTCTCTCATATGTTTCTCACAGTGAACAAAATCAAATTAAGGGTTAAAAACACGTAGATTTATGGCTTAAATAGGTGAATTCCAAAAATATAAATAAAAAACGTAACAGACATTTCTTGACTACAGGGCGATACGAAGTTCGCCGGGTCTTCTAGTAATTATATATAAATAGAATTAAAAACTGAACGATACAGTGAAAGACGTAACTGAATCCTCTCCCGTCCGTGGTTATGTTACGAGGCCTCCGGGAGATGAGAGGATTACTTGGTTGTATGTAGCTTGGTTAGCCTAAAGATTTTTACACAAATAATATAGTGTAAGAGAAAAAAAATTGTGGAACTTTATCCACCTAAAAGAAACCATATCATTGATTTAAAAAAAAAAACTTAAGTATTTTTTTAAGTGCGTTTGTCTTGATTACCTTACATATTCATAAAATAAGCCAGATAAAATTGACAAGTATCTTCTTATAGGATATCTATTAATTTTGTATTCAATAAAAATAATTGAAAGGATTAAATTTGAATAAAATGGGAATGTTCACGGATAGATTAAACTTTCGATCTTCCGACGTGACGTGACGACCCCATCGCCCACCGGTTTATTCCGGTGCAATCGGTCACGGAGGGGGGGGGCCTTGATCTCCTTGTGGGGTCTTGGTCCGGGCTGGGGGTACAGCCTGTCTTGGGGGGGAGAGGAAACTCGGGTCTCTCCGGAGGCTTTGATGGTCGGTTTCCGCTCTGTCTGTTTGCGGACGCTTGCGGTGGGTAGTTGGAACTGGCCACTTAAGCTTGGGTGGAAGGGGTGAGAGGTTAACCTTCTCGCGATTAAGCAAGCCCGCCAGGCGAAAGGACGCTCCTGGTCACTTTAATAGAACCCTCGCAGGGGGGGGGGGGGAGGAGGCCGTTTCCGGCCTGCTGACAGATCGTCGCGGATGTATGCTTCCTCGATTCCCGTGGCGATTTACGAGGCGGCGACGGAGAGTGACCGCTGGTGTATTAGTAGCATAGGTAGCATTGGGTAGCATAGGCCCTTCTGGTCCGTAAATCCCACATAACCGTCTCCATCTCCCGTAGATGGACGGGTAGGTATAAAACCGGGTTAACAAAAAAAAAAGTATCTTCTCAGATGTCCAAACACGAAAAATTTTGTGTCTCTTGATAGGATAATTTTGCATTATATACAGTCTAAGCAATCCAAGCGACACGAGGCATCCCTCTTAAGAAGGAAATGAATTTTTCTATTTGAATACAGTGGTTATATATAATTTGGTGTGCCTAATTATATCCAAAGTAGGTGGGAAGATGTTGAGTTGTGAATACTAACCTGTGTCGTAGCATAGGAAGGCTTCGAGAGAAAATATGTATTATTTGTTTTAATTTAAGTGTTTTATGTATTATACTCTTAAAAATTTATGACAAACAATTTTTCTGTAAATATTGTTATTTATTGAAATTCTCAACTTCTGTATATTTATTCAATGTATTAATGTCAAAACTTTCGCGAGTATTTACTTAAATGAAACTAATATTTGCGGACTCCCGACAAGTTTGCAGTTTTTAAAAATAATAAAACCGCGTAGTATATCCGAAAATATTAGTTTTATTTCTTCATATAAAAATCTGATAGTGGAGTTCAGGTAAGACTAAACACGTTCATTAGTATTAGTACATGCGAAGATATAATAAATACAATGGAAACGATAGAATTTATTATTTATAGTGAAAAACTTAAAATAGTTCAATGATGATATAATTATGTACGCGAATATCTTAATTTACTATTTATAGTGAACAGATTATTATAAATTAAAACATACAAATAACATGAAGAGACACTGGAAGTGATCGTCCATCCCCCTCCACGTTGCTAGCAACACAGACATACTGTCCGGCTTGATCCCGCGACACTCCCTGTAGAGCGAGGTGCGCCGACCCAGCTATTACTCCAGCACGTTGGTTGTGTGTCATTACCTGACCCTGTCAATTATTACAATATTAGTAACCTTTGTAGTTTATTGACGAGGAAGATTAAATTATTCTTCAATTTATTAGGTAGATAAATAAACTTCATTCCATTCTTGTAGTATCATTAAATTAACTCGTGTCTTTTGTATATTATATAAAAGTTCATAAATTATGTTGAAATAAAATTCTAATAAAGACATCCAAAGAAGTAAAAATACCCTGCTTGCATTCTAAAATAGCGTAAAAGTATAAAAGTTTTGCAGAGCTATGTATATCTAACATAAAAACAGAAAAATTGTTTCTCCACTTAGTAATAGCTTTTAAAAAAGTATGGAGTACGTTTGTTATATTTTTTTTCTATGTGTTTTTCTCTAAACTCCTACAAAAAATAAAACAATTCAAAGTTCTAAGCTTTTTTATTTCAACTACATAGTCAACTGCAACTCCACTTTCTTAATCTCTCTTTCATAAAACAAGACGAGTGTGCATTAAGCCATTTCACTTACATTGTGCTCCCAAATAACTTTGTAAGACGGTGGATTTGCCTTTACGATGCATTCGAAGTAAACATCATCGCCTTCTTCAATATCATTAGAGTTCAATTTTGAACCTAATTGAAGTTGAACTATAGGAACGTCTGAAAATTAACAGAGAATTATTATTTATCTGAAATAAGGAATATTTCAGAAAAAAATAATCCTCGGTAAATTATCGGTAAAGCTTATAATGATATATAAGCCTTAACGATAAATTAACTTTTATTAATATCCATAATCCCAAAAAGCAATTTATTTTCACATTCAAAACTGAAATTAATCTTTAATATGTGTACCTATATCTAATACAGGTTAATAATACTACTTAGAATTAATTAATGTTCATAATATAAAGAGAAAATAACAAAAAGTTTAACAATTTTACATTTCGTAAATAAGAACAATAATTTAAGTAAAAGACATTAAATCCTAATGATCTTAATAGATATGTAGTTGAAAAAAGAAAACAACAGTTGTTTAATTAAATTGTATTCGCCGCGTTTTGTTTACGGCTTAAGTTGTATTAATAATTCTATGGTGATTATATCAATTTTACTAAATTTCAATTTTGTCATCATTGCATAAAGTAATATTTTATAAATAATAATTGCCAAAATATACAGTATAATACTATCCTCCTAAAATGAAATCAAAGAATTTGTTACGTGTGGACATTTGATATACATTAATTAAATCAATGTTTTGTAAAGAGGTTTTTTATTCACTTCACTTCACAAGTTTTCAAGCATTAATATTTTCAATTTATTGACTGAAATATATAAAAAATAAGTAACTAGTCTTTTAGATTCTGTTTTTTGCGATTGCTGTTACGTAGATTCGAGATGATTAAAGCAATTCGAAATACGATCGTACTTATACATTACACAATAGCAATTATACAATTGATATTTTTGAAGTTATTTCCCTAACGAAATATGAGACCCAACATACTATAAGCTTTTGAAATAATTTCGTACATGAATTAAGAAGCAACCTAACTACCTACTTACCTTTAACACCCTACTAATGATTTCATTCAAAATTGTGTAGTGAAATGAAATTATATTTTTAATAAGAAAAAAATATTATGAAACGCTTTACAAAATGAATATAAAATATTAAAAAACTGCTTTTAAATAAGTATAAAAAATACTTATTCCGTTATACATATAAAACATATTATACATATTATAAAACAAAGTCCCCCGCCGCATCTGTCTGTTCGCAATAAATAGAAATACATCTACACCAATTACTAAGCAGTTTTCACAATTCAAAAGCATGATTATCGAGAAATGTTTTTTAAGTAATTAATTAAGGTTTTGTATTAATTTGCGTGTACATGAATGATATTTGTTGAAGATGTAGAAAAAAAATGAGCCTCTGGAATCTTTTAACGAAAATGCTGCCAAAACCCTTTGGAATATAACAAAACAATGTATAGTGGAATTGTGCATCTAATATACGTCTACAGAAAAGTCCGCAAAAGCAGACACACGCTTAAGGATAACATACTATATCCATTTTACTTCTTTTAAAAATTGGGATTCATGAAGCGCTAATAGGAAAGGTATTTTCATAATTACGGTATAATCTTATCATATTAAATTACTTCGTGTTCAAGCCTACATCAGTATCTATAAATTACTTTTTGGATTATTGAATTCAGACATTCCATTTGAAAGTAATAATAAGTTTAATAATTTTCAAAATTAAATCCACGCAATAGCTCAAATTTTCATAGGATCACGCATTAATTTTGTATACAAAATTTTTGTTGTTTTATTTTATTAAAAACACTATTTTTAACATAAAATATACCGTTTTTCTAAGTTCAAACTTATCTTATGTTTAACGAAGACTTATTTTAGTCTTGATTTAACTGAAAAAGTAAGTACCTAAAGCATTATGCACAACATAGGCTATTTCATATTTTTTGTAAGGTACCTCTACGAAGCTGGGGCGGATACCTAGTTAAAATATGTATAAGATTGCGATATTTTGCAAAACAAGTGCATATTTAAAAGATACCTCGATACATGTACATTACGTTCCATAATAATTTGTGTCAAATTTCAGTAAAATTCTTATGAACATATTGAAAATGCTCTTTCTATCTTTAACACTTCTGGTTTTCAAGATATTAATATAGATATTGATTTTTTACATTTTTGTTGTTGGATACCAAATTTATATTAAAATAAAAAGGAATTACAGTGCAAATCAAGTGTCATAGTAGTTGCCAAAGTGGCGTGTTCTAGTATAGGGTGGGATGCCCTGCAGGTGAGTACTCGGCCGTCGTGTTCCATTCGCGGAGTCCAGCGTAGGAACGATATCGTCTCATTATGGTCTTCGGAGTTCTAAAACAACAAAAAGTATTCCAAACTATTATAAAATTATTGATTTATTTACTGAAAATTTTAGTCAATCAAAAGTGAACTGAGAGGTTATGGGAAATAATAAGAAATAGTTACATATGTCAACAGTTCTGGCTCTTCCTTTTCAGACAATAAATATATTACTAAACAGACTATATTTAACATTTAATTTGTCGTTTAAACAACGAAGAAGCTTTATTAATTGTGGAACAAAAAAATGCAAAAAAAAATTCGAAGAAATTACCTTTTGTAGAGTATTTACAACCATCTTTTTATCCCCAAGCCACCAAGTTATGGTTGCAGGCGGTCTAGCACCAACAGCTTTACAAGCGATATCCGTTTCTCGGCCCACAGACAAAGGTTGTTCTCTTTCCAAAATTTCGACTGATAATGGCCCCACTGCAAAAATATTCGTAAATGTTTTCTTTCGTTGATATGAAAACAACATGTTTAAAGAATAAAGAACTTTAAATAAATTTAGGATTAAAAAATGCCATACATTTTTAAAGATAATTATATCCTTTCATATTTGTCTAAACTAATTTATTCCTTTTATTTATTTTTTAGATTTGTTGTTTTACATATCGTCAAATTTTATAGCATATCAAGCTACACAAAAGCAAAACTACAATGCACTAAACGTCAATACTATGAATTTCCCAAACTTTTAACTGGGCGTGTATTAAGTTTTTATTAAATTTGTTTCATGTATATATGTTTTTTAGTTATCAGCTCCATTTGTAACTCTCAGTATAGTTTCGGTATAGCCCTTGCCCTTTATGTTATTATAAAAGAGTTGTTTAAATAAAGTAACATCGAATCTTATTATAAACTAAGAAATGATAATTCTTAGCATTCGACGTATTCACCATGCGGGTGCCGCGGAGCTTCGACAGGGCTTGGGACTTAGGACCGAGGTGTAGGTTTAAGGGGCCCATATCAGAAGCGCATTAAACATTCACCTCCACCGTTCATACTTCTCCCCCTGATTTGAAAATAGCCTGCTAGGGTTGCCTTCGAAGAACGTCCCAAAAACGAATATGGTAGTTCTGGACAGGCCTAAGAAGTTTAGTATTTTGCAAAGATCTACAACGCAACCATTCCTATTGAGTTCCTTAGTGAGCTGAAAATAGTTATTGACTTTGATGTAAGGTTTTTGGAGATATTGATTTCCCAAGGAATCGTAAGCTCTGTGAACTCAAATCTATTTAAAATTCCGTTTTGGCTATATGTAGAAACACGTAAATACAATGCAGAATTGTACGTATTGTAGATTTGTCTTTTATGTGGAACAAAATGAAAAGCAATAATTTCACTACCTCGTGAAATTTTGATCATTCATTTATTTATAACTAGCTTTCCGCCCGCAGCTTCGCCGCGTGGAGTTCGGTTATATCGCGTTTCCAAGAGAACCTTTCAAAAGTCTGGGATAAAAACTATCCTATGTTCTTTCTCAAGGTCAACTCTATCTCTGTACCGAATTTCATTAAAATCAGTTCAGTGGTTTAGGCGTGAAAGCGTAGCAGACAGACAGACAGACAGACAGACAGACAGACAGAGTTACTTTCGCATTTATAATATTAGTAGGGATAAGTACTAAGAATTAAATATGTTATAGACTAGTCTTCAAAATGATATTGTTTTCAAATCGTATTATTGGCATGTTCTAAACATTCGCTTAGTTAAATAAAGATTTTGTATCAATCAAATCTCGTTTTGTATCAACATGGAGAAATATTTTATACATTTTTGTATACTGAATTGCTTTAAATGTTTTTGAATCACTTACAAAAATAATTTAAGATATTAATTCAGGTGTGTGTTCTCTTATTTGATATTTTATTTGATTTTGTAAAACATTCAATAAATTATATCTTAAGTCTTACCTTAATTACATGATATCAGAGTATGGACATAATAAAATATTTTAAAATCTTTTAAAATAATACAAAAGATATTTAAACAATACGACATAACAAACATTCATAACAAATTCCTTGAAACTCAGCAACTTTTACTTTTACAACTCGTATTTGTTATCACAAAAATACTCTAGCTCTCCAGCAGCGTAACTCATTGTTATTGAAAATAAATAAAAAATAAGACATATCGCAATCCTTTATAAATTATATTACAAAAAGTTTATATTACGGGTGAAATAACGATAATGGAGCATAATTTCCAGTTATTGTAAGGTAATGTTATTAGAGCAAAACATATGGGACTATAAATAAAAACTAATGGTATATCTGAAAAACTAATGCATAAGCTGATATCATACCTGTGGTAATACAGAGAACTTGACATGCCACTTAATATACATATGGTCGGACATAGTGCAAATCCACATAACTACCATTGGATAATTCCGCGTATCTACATTGGAAGCAGATTATCAGAAGAAAGTTTGAGCTGAAATAATTAATGAATTGACCATTGTCCATGTTCATAATAATTTTTGTAGCATATTAGTACTATTTAAATAAGACCAAAATATTACATGTAAGTAGTATTGTATTCACATGTGAGGATGTACTGAATCCACTGGACGAAAAGTTCAGGTAATTGCATTGCGTTTTGGGGGCCACATAACGAGCAAATGTAATTTTACCTTGTAAGTGTCCTGTTGTCTAAAAATTTGTTATTTTATAGTTTAAATTTTTAGCTTTTATGGTCGTAAATAAATAGTTTTTTGACATGTATTTTTAAGATACGATAAATTTAATACATATACATATGTATGAATATACTTAAGGCAACTGGAATATTTAAACACATTTTTTTTGTTTATAATATAAACGTATAGAAGAAATACAAGATAGATGTAATTATCACTACCTTGTTTCTACTGCTTCTACTTCTACCTGGCAATTTCTCAGCTTTACATGTCTGACTTACATGTTGTGATTCACTACCTTGTTTCTATTTAAAATAAATAAATTTGATCACAATTTTTTATCGTCATCTTTTTATTTTTTATCCTTAAGGTCTAAAATTGTGAAATGACGCAATTTAGCAATAAATAGATAAAATAAGGATTGAACATAAATGGTATTCGAGAACCGAAACAAAACAATATATTTTAATTAAAAAAAGCTAAATACAATTAAAAAGCTTTTGAAAAGAAAAACGATTTGTAGGAACTTCAAAATGAAATATAAAAAACTCAAATGAGTTCAAAGTGTTGTTATGATACCATTATAACATTACCAAGAAATCTTCACAAAATAGAGGGCAAAAGTTACATAATAACTGCTTTGAAACAACTATGAAATCTCACATAATCTTCCGATCAACAAATCATGGTCTCGTAAAGTAACTGAGATAAATATCATAACCACCTACATGAGTATTGTACCACAAAAAAATGTTTGTAGTCAAACTGTACTGCAATATACTAAAACAATTGTAAGAACGCTCCTCTTCACCTTCCAATACGGCTTGTCACAACATATCAAATTGTACTTACACTGATAGCCCTTAACTATATGGTATGACATAGATATATGTTAGTCAATCTTAAGACTCCATTATATGACAACATTAATGAAGTACAATTTTATTAATCTTTAATATATTTTTGTCAGATTAAAAAAAAAAATTAGTCTCAAAGATAATTAGTTAATACAGAATGTTTCAAGTTTTCGGGAGTAGGTACTAATTTTAGTAAGACTATCGTTTTCTGATTTATTAAATCACAACTATTCTATAGGTGGAATAAAATATATAATAAAATTTAAAGCAACTATTAGTTTGACTAAGACACTATAAGCTTGGGATCAGAATAAATGAAGAGACTGGCAATATTCCACACATGACCGGACTTGTGGCTTTTAAAAAGACAAAGAGGCTGTTCCGGTGTAAATCAGTGTCATAGATTTATAAAGAAGCCCAGTTACTTTCTCTTCAAAACCACTGAGCCATTTAAAACTAAGATTTAAGGACACATCACTAAGACAGTCGAAGACAATCGATGTCTTCCACAGATGCCTTCTGAAAGTTGTTATCAAATTAAACGGACTGCCCTTGGTCAAAAAAGAGAAAGTGTCCAAAATAGATATGCAGAGAAGTCAGACTCCTAAGGATACCCTGTGTGGACCACCGTTGCCCCAGATGACCAGCCACTAAAAACTAGTCGTAGAGAACATGGTATTAGAGAAACGTTTAGAATGCTATAAGAGCCACTTTGCTCACGTCAAGACTTTATGGAGTGCTTTTACTTAAGAAACTGACCTCTATTATAGACGAACTGAAATGAATTAAGATTTATGGGATCGAAGTGGGATGAAGTAATTTTTGCGGTCGAGAGAATTTTGGGCGAAAAGGTATGAGAATAATATTGGTTTTTTCCTTATGTCAATAAGGTAATTAAAAAAATTAACCTTCTCGTGTTTACTTTGAGAACTTATCGTCTTGTGTTTGGTAGGTAAAATAGTATTATATAATAATTATTATTTTGTCTAGTCTAAATTTTGACATTTTTAAACCTGTTGTTGAATCTTGCAAACACTCATAATAAGTTGATTCAAGATGAAAAATAATGTCGTGTATCACATATGTACGTATTAAAATTCCTGTCGAAAATATTTTTGTGTAAATAAATTGTAATCGCCGAACAACTAAGTATACAACTAAGCATTTAACTATTCTCGCCAAACTTACTTACAAAATTAATGTCAATGTAACGTAAAACAAGAGTATAAGTTGTTTTATATATAAGTTGACAAGAATAATAGAATCTCATTTGCCGCAAAGGCAAAAATAAGCAAGTTATTTTCAACAACACAGGCAGAAATCTCTGGAGCATTGAGAATCTAATTTCATACCTTCTACTCCTTTCATTCTTATAACCTGAGACGGTAGTACAAAATATGGGAATTCAAGTGAAACTGTCAGATCATCTTAATCCACAGCAACACAAAGGATGTGTGAATTATAATATCGAAAATATATCGCAACACCATTAACTACATTGGTTTCGGAGGAAACGTAAGTGGTTGATAAAAGTGTATTTTTAATATTTGTTCTAAATAATTGTTTTGCTCTTTCATTTATTTATGTCTAATGTTTGTAGGTTAAATAATTTAAAACTTTTAAAAAATGTTACATGCCAAATATATAAATTTCCCTTTAAATATATAAATTATTAATAATCTTCAATATACACAAATGATAACAAAAGTTGCATATTTCTATTTAACCTTAACATAATTTTAATAATTTTCATAACCCTATTCTTTGTTTTTATTATTATTATTATACATTTAAGTATATAGTGCAGCGGATGGTTTACGACACTTTTTTGTCACTTTAGGAACTACATACTCTAGAGTCGACACCATCCCACAATGAGAGACCCAGGGGACTTAAGTTAAGGTTTCTATGAAAAGTTTCTTTATGTATTTTTAATATACTGTTTTTAGGTCACACCAACGTTTTCTGTTCAATCAAAGAAAACATATGGAGTGTTTTAGCTGTTGTTGATGGTGCCATACTACGAATTATTGTTATAATATATCTCTTTCGTCTAGATCACAACGAGTAAGTTTATATTTTCATTATTGCATTTTTGTACTCATTCGAGTACATTCTTCACTTCACTTAAAAAATAAACTTAATTTTCACTTATATACTAGTCATGTATTTTAAATATGTTCAAATAAATGAAATCAGACTTACAGTACAATTGTATTTGCACGTTGGCTCGTAAAGGTGGCACTATGTCAGTATTATCTGCTGTACAACCGTAAACTGCTTCGAAGTGATCCCTCTTTAGAGAGGGAATCCTTAGTTCCAGGATACTGAGTCGTGTCTCATTCTTGACTGGATCCAGTTGAGCAATAACTTTGTTCTCTTTCCACCATCGTATGCGTGGCATCGGTTTACCTATAGACACATTACATAAAATATTATACCTCTAATATTAAGACATCTTTACTTGCATTAATTTAGTTCCTAATAGGGTAATCTAAAGAAATGTAGAAGTAGATATTAAACAAAATATTATGTAGTTAATATTCTAAGTTTATTTTTATAAAAAATATTAAAGTAGTTACGTTGCTTAAAACTACTGGCACTTCAAGTTTAAAATAAAAGTCTGAGTTAGCTAATTAAACTGTTGCATAATTCTACAGTGTCAAATTTTATGATTGCAATAAAGTGTCATTTTTATTATCATTCTAATTTGATATTCTATACAAGGCTCGATAAAAATATAAAATAATATATAATATGATAAGTTATTTATTTTATTTTTAAGCAATATAGAGCAAATAACTCCACTAACTACTAAGAATAGGAAATAACTTGTTAAGTATGGCACCACAAAATTTATCTGTAATCTAGTTTACCTCCACTTACAACACAAATCAGCTTGAGACTTGAATCTTCTACGTATGGTCCGGCCGTCCCTATAACCTCATTGTCTTTTTCGTCAAATATTTTTGGTTTTTCTGGAAGTTCTGCAAAAAAATGTATATATTTTAATATAAAATATGTACTAATGTATTGTTATAAATACATATAGGTTTTTTTTTTAATTCAAAACATATTTCAAAGCTTTGCTCATTTGTTAACATTCTGTGGTGGACTTATGGCTTAAGGCTGTAGTTATGAATTGCTGGGATTAAACAAAACTGTAATAAGACATTGAAAAATCAACAAACGTCCGACCCTCTCTGCTCTACTTAGAGGTTTATATTTAAAGTGTGAAGTGAGGTCATGACACATTTAAATATTCACTACCAACTGTAATTAAAAGGAAATGATTTTTTCTGGGTCTAAAAACAATTAGTTTTTTCTGTCACATGACAATATATCATGTCAAGAGAGTGAAAATATATCGTGTCCTTTCATATTTAATTATATTTTTTATAAATTGTGAAGTACAAAATACACATATTTCAAAATATATGATTTTATATTTGTAGGGGTTGTTATTCCGGTTTCAGATATACTTTTAGTGTATAGTTTTGTACGACAAAAAAACACTGACTAGCTCGGAAACAAAAAACAGGAAAAATAAAGCTTTTTCAATGCAAAAACTTAATAGATAAAGATTTTTAGATTATACATTTTATAGAGTTACTTTTTTATAAAATGCGGCCTGTACCGCCAGTTCAATGTAGATATTTGTTATACTACATAGGAAATAAGTGCTTTTATGTGAAATAATGGTCTCCTCAATTTTAACCTCGGTTTTGTTAATAATCTTGAAAAACAAGTAAAGTTAGTTTCAAAGTAATTTGTCTCTTACATATTTATTAAAAATTTAAGGTCTTGTAGGGTCGCTTGAATAGTTGATTGGTGATTTCAAAAACAACCATATAGAAAAAGTTCAATTATTTATTACTTTATATCGGAACAATAATTCAATATTTCCTTAAATAATTTCTATAAACACATCAATAAATGTTAGTGTTTTAAATTACTGATCATTTTCTGTTAATATATGTACAGTTAAATAAATAAAAGATGCTGTGAGGTTAAAATTAACGACATTATGTCGAATTTATCTTTATCTTTACTGCTGACATCCCCATCAATCACAAAACTTTTATTGCAACATACGCCGATGATACTGCAATAATGTCAGTAAATGCCAACCCAGTAACTGTATCAGAAAACCTCCAATAACACATAAATGAAGTCGAAAACTGGCTAAAGACTTGGAGAATAAAATCAAATCAAAACAAATCCATTCACGTTCATTTTACCTTAAAAAAGGTGACTTTTCTCCAATAATATTAAACGGAGAACCGAGAACGTGCTTACGGGCAATCAAACGAGAATAATATACGGTTAGAAATAGTTGTACATAAGTTTCTTCGTTAGTTGAACTTGGAATTTAAAAATAATAAAAGTGTTTTTTTTACATAATCCAGTGTTCCACTGTTCAAAAAAAATTATTTTATAACCAACAACCGTATTTTTATATAGAAGTTATCCACCAACACAATTCGCACTTACTTTCTCTGACCAGTTTTAAATTTCTATTACTGGAAGTTCTCACAAAGACCTTTATAGAAGAAAAGAGCATCTTTTCAATGAATAATATCAACTTAGCTGTATTCTTGGAGTCAATATACCATCTTTAAATTAAAGAATATGAAATATGGTCAAAGTGTATGTGTGTATATAATATGTAGATACTAGTCGGCTATTATGTATATAATAGTAGATATGTTTTAATAATTATATGTATAATTCTGCTTCTGTTGAAGAAAAGATATTCGTTGATAATTTGGGACATACAAGGGGGACTCCAATATTGAGTTACCTTACATTAAATTTTTTTCCCCGGACCGTATATCGCTAAAATAAAAGTCTTCTAGAGTCGTCCCAGATACAAATTACTTTCGACCCAAAGCAATCTCATCGTCGTTATTGTGATTTTTGAGATAGCATTTTCACTTGGAAAATCATGAATTATGTTTTAAAATATATTCGTTTTCACACAGATTTCAAATACATGAGTGGAGCTCACAAACTTTGAGTTTTAAATGTTGTTTTGTACTTGTTTCTGTTTGTTCTGTTACATTTTATCTAAATTAAAATATGAAGTTAGCAAATATTAAAATATTTTATTGCTACTTCTAAAATATATTAATCTCAAATAATGATAAAAATATTATATTATGGTTCAGTTAGGTATAATTTAAGTACTCTGTTGACATAGTCACTGGAGAAGTAAATTTAGATAACATGTAGCAGTTCATAAAATATTACTTATCTCTATCATATTTCCCTATAACATGCACTTCATACCTCCCCATTTATTTGTGACAGTGCTTCACGAAATCACTGAACACGGAAGTTGGGGTCCTCATTAAAGTAAAAGGGTTTCAAAAAGTTCACAAACTCTATGAGTGTGGTATTGTGCGATAATGTTCCTTTGTACATATTTTTTTAATTTTGATCACACTCTACTGAATGTCTAGTTTATTGCGATCTCCCTCTATGTTACTTTTACAGTAATAGCTGCTTTGAAAAATATCTTCAATCTCAGTGTTTAGATTTTAAATAGGTTTTTTTCCTCTCCAAATACCCAACTCTACCTACTATTCAATATAACGTCTTTGTTATTAAATAGAAAATTTAGAACGATATTGATATATGTTATGGTCTACGCTGGGCGGTATTTATTAGTCGATTTTTTTTTGAAGATTATCTTAAATTAAAATTAATTAAATAGAGTTATTCGTCATAAAATTGTTCAAATAAGAAATATATAGATTATTAATTTTACATATGATATATATTATATATGTATAACTTGAACTGAGTCTTTAAATTCCCGAACGTATACGAAGTGACATTAAAGAGATGATGATTTGGTTTGTTTACTTTTACGCGGGAGAGTATTTTGTCGATATAACTGGTGTCTTTGTAAATGTAATTTAACTTATATAAGGTATTTTGGTTTAAGACAATAATAATTAGTTTGTTGTAGTGAAGGTTTGATATGTTGTTTAAAGATATTGTAAGAATCCCAAATTAAGAAGTGGGATACCATTCATTATATACTCATTAATTTATATGTAATTCTTACTAACAGAAGTTTTAAAGCTAACATATGTATAAGTAATAATTTCTTCTTTAAAATATTTTCAATAGATACCATATACCAACTGTATAGTATTGTTCAATTTGTATATACAGGGTGACTGGTGAATTACTATCAATATTTAAGGAGAATACTCGGTACATGATTCTCATTCGAATTATGTAAAAAAAATAGGTACTTAATTTTTGACCAAATTTCCGTATAAATAAATAAAGTGTTGACACGTTCCAAGTGTTCCAAGCGTGGACGCGTGCGGCGGCGTAGTGTTGTATCAGAACGCGTGTGTGAGTGTGTGTGTATACCTAATCTGTAGGGTGTTCATATGATGCGTAATTAATTACATAACTTTTGGTTAACTTTACTTAGAAGTTTATTAATATTTATGTTTTATTAATTTTTATTTTGACATATATGATCGTCAAATATCACGTCCTCAAATATCGATAGTAATTCACCAGTCACCCTGTATAAAGTAATCGGTTGATTGTATTTATCTTCGTTATTGCCGTAATTCAAAAGAAATAAAATTAAATTGATTGAAAAATTTATATTTCTCTCTACACATAATTGAATTACAATACTTGCGAAAGGCTTTTGGAAGATACTGCATGTAAGATGACATATAATTATTTCTATGCAACCTCCTGAACAATCTTTTTGTTTATAAAACATAAGTGTAAAGAAGCAACTGAGTTTTTTTTTAAATATTCCTAAAAACATTATATTCACTTGCAAATTTAGGTTCAACTAAATTAAAAAGAGAACCTATACTTTGATCAGTATAGACAAACGGTATATGTGATTCCTCGCCTTCGGGGTAGGGGCTGTATGTTTTTGCATTGTTAAAAGGCCACCAGACAATTTTATATACTTCACTACAATGATATTTAAAAATTCAAGCTCAAAAGGAACAAAGAGAGAATAACCAAGTAATAATATTTATTTTAATGAAAAAGATCCTAAAATTCAGAAAAAATTTTCACATAATTTAAAAAATAACAGAATTTGAGGAAGAAGTTACACGCGTATAATTAAACATACTTATAGGATTTTCTTTCGCAAGAGCACAACCTGCACGCTCGGTGAAAATAACGAAGGTGATTGCGTAAATAGACCACATTTATCAATATTTAGCTGAATAGTTGAAGTATAGTAGATAGCTTGATTCCATTGTATCAGTAGTTAGGTTATTGATTTCAACTTAACCTAGTATGGCAAGTACATAATCTAGATAAAAAAATAAATTGACAAATATTACTGAAAAATAGAGGTCTCAAAAAGTGAAGAAGTCGAAAGACAAACTTACGTTTCATTATAACATATTATGTACATAGTTTAGTGAAAAAAAAGTATATATTTTTTATTACTACATATAATTATGTTTCTTTGTATTAAAGTAATACTAATCTTATGATTCCGGTTCCGGCTGTCGACCAGTCAACACGCACGTCACAGCTCCGCGGAAAGTTGAAAATAAACAGTATAAAAAAGTGCCAACGAAGTGTGTCGTACGAACTAAGGACTATAACACAGAACAAATAACGTGATCAGTGGAAAATAAATCGACCGCTTTGTAAACGTTCTAACCTACAAAAGTACTGTCAAAGTAGTGTTGTCTATCGATATTCCACTATCGATAGGCTATCGATAATAAGTTACTATAATCTGTCGATAGTATCATAAAATTTGCAATTTTAACCCAAAAACTATCGATGCTATCGATAGTTTAGAACTATCGATTGTCAGGAATTATTCGATAATATTGTAAGTAAATTTAAAGTGATGTATAAAATAAAAGTAATGGAGCGTATACTTGTATTTAATAATTGTTTTAAAATATTTCAAAGTAGTTCCCTTATGATACCAACCAAATTAATAAATGTCTTTTTTTTTTGATGTCGCAGGGAAACACTTTTTACGAGCCGTCCAACCGGCCTTGGTTCGGCCGGAAGGGATGTGTGAGACTCCACCTGGGCAGGCCCCTACTCACTAAAACCACTGCGAAAGCCATCGGCCGCTATGTCGGTGTACCCCGGATCAAATTAATAAATGTCTAAACATTTCATGAGAAATTCAAAAATTCTACTGACACCAGTTGGGGTTTGAATACATGACCTAAGTGATCACAGCCAATACTCCTAGCCAAACATCTGAGCTATCAACTGTGCCTCGCGGGAGTCAGTCTGTTTTAAAAAAAAAAACTTTTAAATTTAATAACCTTCAATGCACTACAACAAGTTTTAAACATTTTGAAAACAAATTAATGACATTAACTTGACTTTATTTTACATGTAAATAAATATTTGCAAAAATAAAATGTGATGCTCCAGTCAATATATTAATTTATTTATTTAAACACTTCTCTCATATATGCTCCTGCTTCTAAACTGTACCCATAAATCTTACTGCTCGCTTTCTATATTATTCAAGTACTATTAAAGAAAAATTTTATACGTTTGAAGTGTATTGTAGTCCGAGAACCAGGTCAGAATTTGGTTAATTATTTCTTCTCGATAGGTAAAATAGGTAGATAGTGAAACACATCAGATAATACATAGTATCATTAAGCCTTATGACCGTCAGCTAATTAAAAAAACTACTTCAATTTGTTCGTATTTAGTAAAATTACTTAGTAATTTAAATAAGGTTCTTTTAATTACTTCTGAAATGCAGAGAGAGTTTGTACTTCTTTTTTTAATGAGTTTAGAAATACAGATTGCAAACGAGAACACAGAAGAGTTGTTCGCATCCCTATAGCACTAAAAAAAATATCCTTGGTTCTTTGGGAAACCAAGGACACTAAAGACAATGCCAACAAGGTCAATAAGTATTACGAGATCACTAACGATTAAAAAAATGGTTAATTTGTACTTTTTAGGCTACATATTATGTTTAGTTCCGTCTGCTAAATACCAGAAAAAATGCAATTTTGATTAATGGACTGATTTTCAACACAGGCTCTTGAATACTCTATAGTTTTAAGTATAATCAAATGTTTTTAATATTTGTCAGTTCGTTAAAGTTCAAATAATAATGACTATAAATATCTTTACTTAGAAATGAAAGTCGTGTTAGTTACACCATTTATAGTTCAAGAACGGCTTTACTGCTTTTGCCATCAACAGGAGAAACAGAGGTCCCCCGGGCAGCTATACATTTTTAAGTTTCAAAGTAACGTAATTGAAGTCGCGGACAAAAGTAGTTCATTGTATAATTATTATGTACAAAACTAATTTTTCAAAAACAAATAGATTTTGATGAGTAAAAAATGATCACGTCAATTTGACAAATGAAAAAAATTTTCGTGTTCAAAATAATTAAGTATATAAAATAAACATACATACACATTTGTTAAATGATGAAAGATTATTAAAACAGTGGTGGGTTCATTGACATATAATTAATTATTATCAGGACTGATATCCAATTTTACGTAAGAACGGGGTAATAGTGGTCAGTTGCTTGGTTTACAAGATTGCCAATTTTTATTGAAATGGACTATATATAAATATTTGAGACTTGAAACATGCTCCGTGACACCCGTATTAATCTGTGCTACATTTTATATACAAAATCGATTTGCTAATATGTAGTTATTACGATAGTTCAATTTCTGAATTATAATTAACTACAAGTAAACCCGGCGAACTCCGTTTCGCCACCAGAAGGCTTTTATATAACATTTCGTTTGGTAATTAAAAGATGAAGAATTTTTTTTTTGTTTAATATTTGAAAAGGAAAATTTTTATTTCATTTCACAACAGTAATGAATTCATTTCGATTACAAAAATGAAGTGTTATTTAGTTGAACTTCTCTAAGAAAATGAAAGTGAATCCAAAGTAGATACCGAATCGAAGCGTTATACGTGTCCGCAAATTATCCGTTTCATTGAAGTTCTCCTTTGTAAACCACATTTTTAGTTTTTTGGTCTAACTTAAACACAAATAAAGCGGATGGTTTCCAAACTAATGAACACGCAAAATATAATTTTCCCATGTGAAAAACAATGATTTTCTAAATTTATCCCGCAAATACTAAATGGTTTTAAGAGTTCAAATTACAAACACAATACCGGTTTGTCACATGAAATTAACTGGGAATAGAACAATGAGTAGCTGTCAATGTATCATGCGACTGCACCATCTACTTAAAATATTGATTTGTAGTACATGTTATGTATGATGGCGCTGTATGTGACAAAAGATTTTCCCCATTTTCTGTTGAAATTTTTTGCTGTCACGAAGCCCGAGACCTTTCCAACGAATGCAAAACCGTGGAAATTGGTTCTTTCGTTCTGAAGTTATAGCGTCAGGATGGAAAACCGAACTTATTTTTATATAGTAGATTTCTTACAAATATCAAATTGTCATCCATACGTCATTACACATCTGTCATTATACGTCAATTGCATTGCTGTCTACTGTGTTTCGTTATTCCACTTTTTATAGTGACTGACGTTTCATGTCAAGTCCCACGGGAACGCTGTCGAACGGGATAGACAGTTCTAATTCTATTGCAATTTCCTGGTTCTAAACTACCTCCCTGCCAATTTTCAGCTAAATCGGTTCACCCGTTCTTGAGTTATAAGTGGAGTAACTAACACGACTTTCTTTTATATACATAGATTATAACATTGTGGTCAAATTTCAATCGAAAATAGCATTCATAGTACAATATTTCTTTTAAATATTTGACATAGTTATAATGATGTATTATTTCGTATAAAATACATTTCTAGGTAACCTCTTAATTCATCAGTCCTTGTCAAACAACACAGTTGTTATATGTAAACAAAAATCAAAGATACATATGATTTGAATTTAATACTAATAACATAAGAGAAATAACTTCACATTCTATATATACTAAAATTCAGGAACACTGTTTTATAAACAAAACCTATGTACATATAATTAAACGTAATAAAACTATAAAGCTGCTAGAACAAATTATATTCAATTCATGTGATATATGCTTGTGGATTTAGTTTAAATCAAATAACGACACATTTCCGAGCACATTTGGAAAACAATAATAACATTAATATGTTAAAGAGATATGAAAGTATATAAATTTATGTTAGTAATAAATTCAATTTGCTTTATTTATGTAGCGACCGATACAACACAACTAATACAGGACCTAATTTAGATCAATTAATTTGCTATTTCAATTAGACAGATATATACATATAAGAGAATTCTATTAAAGAATTACAGAATTTATTATTATTTATAATTTATCTAAGCATTCAAATTGCCACGTATGCTGACACACATGTATCGATGTAGATCACCGAATAGAGGGACTTATTTAAGGTAAGTCCCTCTGTGCAGTGATTTGTATTATTTATTACTATATTATACTAGGATTGTGCTAGGACTTAAATTAGATTAGTAATGCACAGTCAAAATAATTTAATATATAGTAACAAGCTACAAAATACAAAGATTTCGAAATAATAAAAAAGTGCTTCGTTTTATTTCAAGTTATTTTATAAATTATCATAATTTGTGTTATAAAATAGTCAAGACCTATTGTATCGATTTGTATGAAATTCGATGTAAGTGTAGACTCTAACTAAATATACCTACAACAATTTTTCTCCGCAAAGTTTTCATTACGAGCAAGACCGAGAAAAAAAGCTCGTTTGAGTAAAAAAAGATAATTAAGTCATATTTTTTTCCTTAATAGATCTCTCACTAGGTATGATATATGCCATAGTAACACTTATGTGATCATTTCAAACGTTAACAATGGAAATTTAGTTTTTATGATGTAATTGGCAAGATCTATAAACCGCTATCGTTTGGCTTCGGTCCTTTATTCCCATACATAAACTAGTGGTACATCTGGCCCATGTGACGTTGGTAACTAAGCTGATCTATCATCGCTTTAAAAATAAATGTAATTAAAGTTTAATGTCTAGAAAATATTTATTTTTTATTATTATTATTATTAAAAACTCCAAAAGTTTATATTTTCATTTTTCTCAACATACATATGGGACTCAACGGGATTTGTGGAAAGTAAGGTCATACTGATTGTATTACATAATGTTAAATCTTTAATAACAAAACATGCCCAACTATTAACTTTATGTTATAAAACTTGTTAACGTTTCCAAAATTCAAGTTAGCTCCCGGAAGACAATGTTCAAATGAGAATATGAAATGTAATTCGCAAAATTTTTATTCATGTACATATAACGCTGTTACAAGATTAAATAATAAAACGCTGCCACTTTGAAGTTTCTTAAACGTTACTTTAATAATAATTAGGTTGAAATAATTTTTAATAAAGGAAATTTTCGATTTTATTACCGTCTATTAATAAATAATGAACAATTAATTTTATTTCTACATATGTATGGATATATAGTGACATGAGTCCTTTCGACATGAATGAAATAAAGAAAATTTTCAAAAAAAAAACTAATGGAACGTCTACAGGTCTTCATCGAATGATTGATTAATTTTCAACTAAAAGGTTATTTATCAAGTTAAACATCACGAATTCTTGTTCGCTGAATTCTTGTGAAACCCAGAATAGTAGCGATGAAATATTAACTTTTTTGCATCAATTTATAGTATTCAACAGTATATTAAGAGAAAGAGAGAGTCTAAGGATTTATTATATTTACAGCTATCGTGGCAAAGTTGTAATTCTACCTGTATCCTGGACCCTAGCTAAGTTAAGACTCAATTAATTTGGAAACGCTTTTGTTAGATATGCGTTTTAGTACTTCTATAAATTGTGTCTCAAAGTGATCTTACGAACTATATAAATCGAAGTTCTTACCGATCACGTGTAGCATGTACTTATAATTTCTTGTTGGAGATACTTTAAAGTCAACTCTGCAGCGATAAAGGGCCCGATCTGCTGGAACGATATTTCGGATGTGAAGCACAGAGTTTGATGAAAGGTGCCACTTGGCACGACCCACCAACGTTGCATCCGCCCAGTGTGCAGAAGGCCCTTTTACACGTCCATCGTAGCTGTAATAACAAAAAGATACCAAATTATTTATATGTAAATATAAAAGTCAGATTGTAACTAAATGAATTGAAAATAATTTTTAAATGCGTGGTATGTAACTGGCGCGTACTGGCTAATTTATGTGACTGGCTAGTTATGAGTTTTGCCTATTTAAAACTAATCTCTGTCATGAAAAATTAATTCATAATCTTTCAACGATCACTCAACGACATCAACAATCAACATCAACGACAAGTTATTCAAAGGGACAAAATATCAAAAGGGAATAGCAATTGTAAGGCAACCTATATTTCCTTTGAATGAAACTCAATACACTCTCAGATAAATTCGGATTAAAATGAAAGCCTTCTTAGAAATCTCAATGAACAAAGATACTCAGGAATCTTTAAGAACGTTTCTCCAGTTTAAAACAAACAATATTTATTATTCAATATACTTTCATGTAATGAAATCTAAAGACAGATTAAGTAATGTCAATAAAGGCAACCGTAATCGAAAATAAAACTCACATTAATGATGTTTTCTTAAATTTTGTCTCTGTTATACAAAAATGTATACTTAAGTACAAAACAAGTTATTACTATTGTTATGATATTATATTGAAAAAAATAATTAAACAATATTATAAAGTAGATATAAATAGCATCATCTTTTTAATTAAACTACTGCTACTGACAATATTTTTTTACAGACCGGCGTCATTAACTACATACGTACATTAATAATCTCTGCAAATTTTATTTGTTTAAATAAACAGTAGGAAAACCATGTCGCATGCAAATCATGTTGTGATGAAAATAGGGTACACTTGTTTCAGGTGTTGAATAATATAAGGGCTTTCAGTAACACATGGGAGTAAAGAATGTTTGAAACCGGAAACTATATTTAATAAAAATGTAATTATATCAGGTTTAAGTGTTTAAAAATAGCATATATTCAATAATTATTAAATTTCTATGATAAAAAAAAATATTCATCAGAAACAGAAAGCGTAACATATCTGTTTCACATAATCTAGTAAGTATCTTCCATGAACGTTAACAAATGTTATGATTGGCCAACTTTAAACTAAGCTATATAATTACACTGATCGTTACAAAACTAGTTCGTTAAAACTATGTTCGTTGAAGCTTTTATCACAATCTAACAATTTAATTCACTGTAATGATTGCCATTCAAAACTAAATATGTACTATTCATGTTTTAATTACCTTTGCTTTTAACAAATATTTTAGGTTGGCTGACATTTTAGATTTATTATAATTTTAACAGAAAAAATGTTTTAATTGGCGACTATAACTGACCTGTAAATTGGTAAGTTGTTTTTATACCACACGACGAGTAGCAATGCATCAGGCGGTTGCGGAGAGCGAGTGTCGCAAGGCAGTGTTGTGTCTCCGCCTGACACCGCTGATAAATTGACTACATCCAGAGACTCCGCCCACACGCTCGGCCCTGGCCTTAGACCTGTTGATTTATTTAAAGATTCAAATAAATTATAAGATCGCCGCGTTTACCTTTAAAGTAACAGAAATGATAAAAATCCAGAGAAGAGTATAAAATTCTGATCACTTTAACTTTAAAGTAACAGTTCATATTAAACTGTTATAATATAAAATTAAATAACAATATCGTGTTAAAGAAAGGTTCTATCTTTTGTTAAAAGCTACATAGCAGCAAAACTAACAAGGACAATTTCAGATACATAAATATAATCTTTCTCATTTATAATTACTAACCATATATTAATGCATCAAGACTACTAAGTTACCCTTTCTTGTTTATTTTTAAGCTAAACACAAACCCACTTATCAAATTACAAATTTTGAAAACCAAATGGGACTAACTTTATTATGGATCGAGAATATTTAGGAAATGCGTAATTTATAAGTAGCTGTAAATTTATATGAAATAATATTAAAGTCATTATGACACATCCCGCAACCATGATTTTAAAAGGCAGGATACGTTAATTAATGTTAATGTTAAAGACTTAACTTTATATATATTAATTTCAATTGCATACACTTATTTAAATTGTATAATTCGGCGCTATCAGTTTAATGACGAAATTCAACATAACAATAAGTTGAGGCTGTCATCAATTATTATAAAAAAACTTATTAGTATTCATACTCGTATTATTGTTAAAAGTAAAACGAAATCAAAATCAAACGGAGAATAGATCTTTGTTTGAATCCCTACTAATATTATAAATGCGAAAGTAACTCTGGCTGTCTGTCTACTACGCTTTCACGCATAAAGCTGAACTGATTTTAATGAAATTTGGTACAGAGATGGAGTTGACCTTGAGAAAGAACATAGGATAGTTTTTGGTCCCAGACTTTTGAAAGGTTCTCGTGGAAACGCGATACAACCGAACTTCACGCGGGCGAAACTGCGAGTGGAGAGCTAGTTTTGGTATGAATACGACCTCTGGAGACACGACATGACCGTTCAGTGAGTGCGAGACTGAGTGAGTGAGTGAAGAATATAAAACCTTCAAGAAATATATGGACATTCAGAAGAATTGAAGTTTACTTTTAAAATAAGATGTATCGCGCTGAAAGAACAGATATTAATGACGTCAGTGAGTGAGTGAGTCTTTGAAAAAACAATGAATGTGTAATAAATCGGATACATACGAGGTGTGTTCAAAAATTACACGGAATTTTTAAATTTCTAAGGTCTGGAGAGTCCGATTGTCAATTTTTTTTTATTGTGTAGTCATACATATCCCTAAACTATTATAAAATTTTCAGCTTTAATCACTGTTAACTTTTTTCGTTTTAGTTGCTAAGGTTTGACGCGTTTTATGAGCACGGCGAGTTTTATTTGTTTAACCAATGGAATAATTGAAGAGTCAAAGAATTTGTATCAGATTTTGCGTACAAAATAAAATTAAGTGTGTAAAATGTTACAAAAGGCAAATGGTGACTGATATGAAAAAAACAAGTGTTTACGAGTGGTATAAGCTTTTCCAAAATGGCCGAAAAGACGTTGAAGATGACGAACGGCCCGGTCTACCCAACACCTCAATAGTCGATGAAAATGTGGAAAAAATGGCTATAAATGATCGCCGAATCACAATTAGAGAAGTTTCTGATAAAGTTGGCATATCAATTGGCTCATGTTATAACATTTTATCAAATATTTTGGCCATGAAACGAGTGGTAGCAAAATTCATCTCAAACTGCTGAATTTTGACCAAAAAAACAATTGCATGAACAACGCTCAGGAGCTGTTAAACGATGCCAATGACGACACAAGTTTGCTTGAAAGCATCATAACTGGTCATGAAACATGGGTGTACGGTTATGATGTCGAAATCAAAGCACAATCGTCAACCTAGAAACATTCAACGTGTCCGAGAGCGAAAAAAGAACGTCAAGTTTGATCAAATGTCAAGCTTTTGCTTACTGTTTTCTTCGATTATAAGGGCAAAGTGCATCAACAGTTCTTGCTAAGAGGTCGTACAGTTAACAAGGAGTATAACCTTAAAGTTATGCGACATTTGCTTGAAACAATCCGAAAAAAACGACCCCATTTATGAAAAAGCAATTCATAACTTTTGAACCCCGTAGCGCGCCTACTCACTCGTAGTTGTTTGTTCGTAATATTTTGGGAAAAACAATACCGTCATACCACAACCCTATATTCACCAGATATGGCTCCGTGTGATTATTTTCTGTTCCCAAAAATTAAGAGACCCATAAAAAGACGGCGTTTTTCCTTCATTGAAGAAATAAAGGTTGACTCGCTGAGAGTGCTAAAGGACATTCCAAAAAGTGAATATCAAGACTGCGTCGAATATTGGAAAAAACGCTGGCACAAGTGTATTTTATCTGGGGGGGAGTACTTTAAAGGAAACCACACTGATGTAAACAAACAAATAAATATTTTAAAAAAAAAAACGAAAATTCCGGGTACTTTTTGAACAAACCTCGTACATTAAGAAAATATTATAGTATTACTTAAACGAAACTCACATTAAAAATGTCCATTACTATGCAATTAATGGAAAAATACCAATGAATGTTTTAAACTAATGAAAAATGAAAATGAAAAAATATTTATTAACAAAAAAACACAACATGAAACGAAGAAATGTCCGGTGGTACCCACACTAGGTATTCCTGTGTCGTGGGTACCAATTGATAGATTCACAAATATGTTTAATGTTGTCGCTCGATACATTGCATAGTTTAGGTTACAAGTCACATGATACAAGTTATGTTAGTTAAAAGGTGCTATACCAGGTGAAGGAATAGTTCTTCGGTGGTATTATAGGTTAACGAGGAGAGCCAAGAAATAATTTTTGTTTTGGCTTGTTTTAGGGAGCAATGTTTAATGTCACAAGCGTTAGCTACTTTATTATAAATAAAAGACTCTATGAAAGGACTGAAGCGTCTGGCAAAAGAAGACTTAATTATGGGCAAGGGGAGCCTATAGTCCCGACGTTTGAGCAAATTTACAAAGTCTATTGCAGAAACAGTTTTGTGATGAACTTTAAGTGCTATTTTTAAAATGTATATTTGGCGTACGGTTAGAAGTTCACATTCCTGGTATAGTTTGGTGGTTGAATAATCATATGGTTTATTCAACATAGTTTTGAGGACTGATCTTTGGGCTCGTTCAAGATGAATTAAATGCGTTTTACAGGCGCTTCCCCAGGAACTAATGCAGTAGGATATCAGTGATTGACAGAGAGCAAAATATACGGCCCGCAAAGTGCTTAATGATGCCGACTGGCGAAGTATTTTCATAATATTAATGACTTTGCGGACGCGACCAGAAAGAGATTTGATGTGATCTTTAAAGTTTAAATTTTGATCTATAAGAATTCCGAGATATTTTGCTGCATCTATTTTGGTCAGTGGAATACAATTGCATTTGCCACCGTGTACACAGGTGTGAAGTTTTAATTTTAAAGTTGGATTGGGTGCAGAAATCGCTGTTTTATGGAAACAGATGTAATTAGTTTTAGATCTATTTAGCGTAAGGAGGTTGTGAGACAACCATGTGGATACGTGTCGTATACCTATTTCAGCTTTTTCAAAGACCTCAGCCCAAGTGGATCCTTTATAGATAATAACTGTGTCATCTGCATAACAGATTATTTCACCGTCTACGTTAGCGTGTATGTCGTTCATGTACATGATAAAAAGCGTAGGACCAAGAATGCTGCCTTGGGGAACGCCAAAATTGACAGCTACCTGGTCACTGTCGTAACAACCGACTCTAGTGCAGTGTTTCCTATCCGTAAGGTAGCTTCTAAACCAATCTAGTACTACGCCCCGTATACCGAACTGGGTTTCGAGCTTTCCTAAAAGTAAGGGAATCGAGACGGTGTCAAAAGCCTTGGATAGATCCAAGAATACAGCAATACTAGGCTTGTTATCATCCACGTTAGCTGCAACTGTAGATGTAAGCAAATTTACCGCGTCTTCTGTAGACTTTCCTATTCTAAAACCAAATTGCCTGGGGGAGATCAAGTTATTAAACTCAATGTAATTATTCAACCTTTTACTGACCACCTTCTCAAGTAGTTTTGAGAAAGCGGACAGCAGAGAAATTGGACGGTAGTTTTGCGGGGAATCTTTTGTGCCAGTTTTATAAATTGGTTTGATACACGCCATCTTCCACTTATCGGGAAAGATACCAGACTCCAAACTTTTGTTAAATATAATTGTAAGAGGCAGAATAATAACGTCTTTTATTTCCTTTAGAAGACCGTTACTTAGACCATCAATACCAGGAGCTTTATCATTTTGAAGTGAGGTAATTAAAGACTTCAATTCATATTCGTCAATCGGTTTCATAAAGAAAGAGTTTAGCATAAGTTTTTTTGGATAAATTTTCGATGCCAACTTATTTTCATCTGTTTGTAAATTATTTAAAATACCACTAGCTAGAGTATGACCTACAGTTGAAAAATATAAATTGCACTTGTTAAGAGAATTTTTAGCGTCAACAGAACCTTCGATCTTCAGTAGTTCATGAGGATCTTGTTCATTTGTAGGAAAGTGACATATGGCCTTTATGGATCTCCACATTCTTTTGGTATTATTTAAACTGCTAGATAGGGTAGTGTTATCATATGCTATTTTTAGTTTACGCAATAGATCATTACAAAAATTACGATAACGAGTATAAATTGTTCGTTTGAGTATGTCATTTGGGTGTTTTCGTGCTTGCATGTGCAAACGATCTCTGTGCCGCATACAACGGATTAGTCCGGGAGTAATCCAAGGTTTAAAAACACGTTCGCTACGCTTTAACGATATTTTAGAGGTATATTTACTAATTATTTGAAAAAGGTGAAAACAAAAGTTGTTGACGGTTTCGTTAAGGTCATCAGAGCTGAATGTTTTGGCCCAGTCGATTTCACTAAGGTCTTTTTTAATCGCATCCATATCATGTTTAATTCTGAAACGGTTTATAGGCTTCGGATTTTGTATAGTTAGTAATAAACCGAGTATAACAATATCATGATCAGTAATGTCACTGTTGCAGACTATGCCAATAGACCCCTCGGTTTTGTTGGTAAATATGTGGTCAAGACACGTATTTGCTCTAGTAGGATTAGTTATAGCAGGGAAAAGACCATGTTCGGCCATTAAGCATAAATATTCTAAATCTTGATTGCTGGTCGGGCACAGCAAATCTATATTTAAGTCGCCGGCTAATACGACTGTTTTGTTTAAATTAGAATGCGTGTTCAGTATCCGATTAAGCGAGAACAAAAAGTTATTAGTATTTTTAAAAGATGGCGGACGATAAATTGATAACACTGTGACTTTATCTGGTATTTGGATTTGCAAGCAATTGGCATCCTGTAGTTCGGGCTCAGAGATAATAGCGTTCAGGGTTTCTTTAGTGTAAACTACAACACCACTGTTTTGATTTATTATGTTTCGGGTATAACTGGTAATATAGGAACTAATTTTTGGGACTATAGATAGGTCGTTTATCCAGCATTCTGTTAAAATGATAATATCAAAAGAACAGTCAAATCTCTTTAAGGTTGTTACAAAGTTATCAAAATTTTTGTTTATGCTTCTAATATTAAAATTAAGTATCTTAAAATTGTAATCCTGTGGCAAGGACATTAAACATTGCTCCGGTTCTTGTATTGTGTGGCAGTTTATGCGTATTGAATCTAACTCATAATTATTTATGCGATTATCGCCTGATATGCATATTTACTAGACAAAAGAGCTGAAATTTTTGATAATAACTAATTGCAGAAACTGACACACAAGTCATTCCTCGTTTAATAAAGACACAGTTACAAGAAACTACAGGGATTGCAAAAATAATTGGACTGTTTGAAGCGCGTACTGACAAGACTAAAGTTAACCACCATGTGACCTTGATAAAATAAACAATTATGTGTGTTATACCAAGAACTAAGTTGTTTTGAGAAGTAATACTTAAAATTATAAATGTATACAGACAAAAAATCAGATTGCTATCTTTACCATATATAAACAGTACAGTCGACACACTGATATAACCAACATAACTATTCATAATGAAGATCTCATGGCTTGCTCCTAGACGGTGAGAAAATTTCGGCCAGGTCATCATGATTGCGCACAGAGCGAGCTGGCTTACCTTCATATTGCCTGACAAAGATATTGCCTTGGGAACACCAACAGTGTGAGAAGCCCATTTCTTTGGTTTTCTTTCGAGATTCACGAAAAAGCTCACGGTTGAGTTTCGTCAAACGCTCGTTATAATAAATTTTTTGTGACTCTCCAGGAATGTCCATGTCAGCGCTTGTTATATTTCGTCGAACCCTCGCAGCTTTAACTATATCATCTCGCTTAGATTTTCTTAAAAGGCGTACGACAACTGGTCTAGAAAACTTTGTTTTACCCTCCGTGAGAAACGCAGGCCTGCGAGGCCCGACTCGTGTAACCCAGTCAATGTCATTGTCGTTTAGCTCCACACCCACCTTACGGGCAGCCAATAGCGCTATATGATGGAGATTTTCGTTGCTAATCTCAGGTACACCAGACAATTCAAGCTCGTTTTGCAATTGAGTTTGACACTGCATGTTCAGTTCTTGTTGTAAGTCTTTGACTGTAGTTTTTAATATGTCCGTTTGCTGTTCACGGTCTTCCAGGTGCTGTATACGAGTATCATTTTTAGCTATTGCGGATCCCAACTCATCAAGTCTTTTCTCGCAGCTGGATAAAGATAAAATAGCATTCTCAAGCTGCATTTTCAGCGAACAGATCTCTTGAGCTAGGAAACGTACTTCGCTGGTGAGCTCCTTTACATCGGTGCTAGTGGCAGGTTCGTAGTCTGTGTCAGGTTTCTTTCGAAAGGTGACGTTTTCAGCCATGGGTCTTATAGGCGTAGAACTATTATCGCCTCCTTTTCTCTGAGACGCGCAGCAATCGGGACATTTCCAGTTGCCTCTTTTTTCACTAGATATACCGGAAAAATTAATACATAAGTTGCAAAAATATTTCTCACATCTAGCTGATGAGCATTTTATTTTGTTTAAGTCCTTTACTAGTTTTAAACATCCGTGACACTTCATTGCGTTTAGAAAAAAGACACCCAGTTATAAAATAATTAATGTCTCTCAGAGTAAAGCGTTCAGAACTGACCGCTCTGATGTTATAATCTTTGACGATAGCTCCGTGTACAGTGAATGAGTCACTCGCGATGCACTCCACGCGAAGATGACACCTGCGTCCCACACGTAACCGCGATAATCGCGTGCGTTAGCAATAATGCACTATCATGCACTTGACAGCTGATTCGTATTCAACTGATTTTTTATTTTACTATAATTTACTTATTTCACTTTATAATAATGTAAAAATTACAACCCTTATTAGTAAACGCACTATTTAACACATTACTGATTATTTTAAATTGATTACACTATATTTTCTGGTATAAATCTGATATTTTATGAAGAGGTATGACGGTTTGATTTTAACGAATCGACAGAGCGACAAAGAAGTGAGCGACTAAGATTTAACCATTTGTAGAGAACTACATATATTGAAAAAACAAATACAAGTTGATCCGGTTGGTTATCCTATTTCTGCTTTTGATTCTGATGTTCTGATTCTCCTATTTCTCATTCAGAAACAGTACCTGGTAGTCAGCCTATATGAAAGACTAGCTTTTGCCGCGACTCGTCCGCGTGGAATAGTGACTTCCGGCAGATTTTTGGTTCTTCCCACATAGTTCCCGTTCTTGCGGGGTTTTCGGAATGGTCGAGTTCCCGTAGAATTTTCAGGATAAAACCTATGTTTTTTTTTATTCACAATGAAGTACTCTTAACCAACAACATATTTATTTGGTTATTTGAATAAAGATTAATATTATTATGTTGTTACAACTTAAACAAATTATTTCGACCAAATTAGGAACCATAAAAACGGTTTTTGTGAGTTAATCTTAAAAGATAGACATTTACTGTCGCGGACTGTTTTTTAGATCATTAAAAGAGCTATTATTCTTTAATACATATTTTTGTTTATCTTGAACCGTTTTCACAGCGCACGCAACGGAAGGCTTCAAAGATGAAATAATTTCTCCCGTTTTTTACACATTTACGACTATATCTTTGCTCCTATTGGTCATAGCTTGATGTTATATAGCCCACAGCCTTTCTCGATAACTGGACTATCCAACACAAAAAGAATCATTCAATTAGAACCAGTAGTTTCGGAGATTAGCGCTTTCAAACAAACAAACAAACAAACTCTTCAGCTTTATAATATTAGTATAGATTTACAAAGAAGAAGAAGAAGCTTCTTGAAATTAAAATTTAACGTAACAAACTGAATGAAATATATTTAACATCCTAAAGACACAAAAAAGATAGTTGATATAAATTGGAAACATAAGGACAACACAATTATTTACCAGTTCTATAAATTAAAGTTAAATAAGAGCTTACTCTGTCCTACCAAATTTTACGTCGTCAAGAAAGCTTGCGAAAACAGCTAGAAGAGAAAATAAGTAAAAAATATTGGGATATATTACTAAATTCAATATGAAGAATAGTACAATAATTAATTAAATTTTAAAGATCATTAATATGATGATGACAATTTTGTTTAATTATATTACACAACAATTTTGTATTAATATGTCTTCTCAGTTAATTGACCTTTTATAATTTTCGATAGTAATTATTTGTTCGTTATCTAGGTAACTAAAATTAAAGCGAACAGTTTGCCGGTGTTAGCATTAGTCGGTTATAACCCCAACCATCTAAGAAACTACTTCGATCTCGTGCGAAATATTTCGCGAAATTTGAATCGTTCGTTTGCCGTGAATACCAAGCGTTATCGTGACAAATGGCTTGATTAACAATCCAAGTACCAACGAATTAGATAGCATGAATAACGAGCCCATATATCAAAGGATGTTTCTATACACTGACAAGACTTAGGAATTTGGTGTTTATTGATAAATTAATAGAAGGTAGGAAATATACCATATTATAATAAAGTTATTGTATATATTAATATGTATTCTGATAAGAAATGGTTTCCGTATTCGCACACTTTTGATATGTTAAGAAAAAGACAAAATTATGTCGATATTATCTTTTTATCTCGACTTATTTACATAATCATTTATTATTATAGATCATAAAGTTCATTTAATGAAATCTAAGACTTTCGCGAGTTTTATTCATTTAAATAAAACTAATATTTTTCAGATATACTACACGGTTTATTTTTGTGAAAAACTACATACTTCCTACGTTTTGGCTACTTTACAGCCACCTCTGCCCACGGTCAGAGTTCATTTACAACAGTGAACTTAAGTTTAAGCTTAAACTAAGTCTAGTATTTAGTATTTTAAATGTATAATTTTAAGCGTGAAATATTCACTTAAACATTTTAACATTCAGTATAATATACTGAAAGTTTTACGAGCAAATATTTTGAAGCAACTGCACTAGCACGTGCAACGAGATAGAAATAGACGATTGTTCCAAGATGTTCATAACTGTTTTAACTCACCAAATTACATATGTATATGGCAGGTCACTTTTGAACTGGAATTATAATTTTAATAATATATATAGGTAGGTATGTACAGTTTAAATTACTTATTTTGAAATGCAAATGAAGACTAAATTCTGATAAAATGATGTATTAGGAACATATATCAAAATACGATATTATAATAGGTTGAGGAAAAAGTCTTTTCGCATTATAGTATGTATGAACTTGTAATAAAATCTCTTTGGCTGTAGTATTTGTATCTGGCTGGTTTTGTTAACATTAAAAAGTTAAAATTTTAAAGAACATAATTCGAAATACAAATTAGGCAAATGTGTGATTTCATTTGGTTTTCGTACTGTCAAGATGAGTGAATTTAATGAAGAAATTCGATATCTTTTAAAATATTACTACAAAAAAGGTAAAAATGCAACGCAAGGCGCGAAAAAAATTTGCGATTTTATTATATTTGTATACACAATTTTTTTATATGTTTAAATTTTGTGTATTTCATATTTATAATTTAAAAGCTTGTCCGTCCATCAATCAAGCTACAATGGACCAGTTTCAGTTGGAAAATTTACCTATAACCAAAAAATATATTTATATTTTTTTAGATTGATATAAACTAAAAAAATTGTTTAAAACCTTTAGTGCCGATAATAGTATTTAAAATTAAAAAAAAACTTATTGAAGTTACGATTTATGAATATTATACATATAACGTTAATGAAATCTTCACACCCAACATAATTATACATATTAAGGACGTATTTTTTTGCAACAAATTTTTGACATTCCGTGAAGAATGACAGGTATAAAAAGAATTTTGATTAGAGTTTATCGAAAATGTATTTTAAGAATTCATCGTATTGCAACGAGAGGAGCTGCAACAGTGCCTTGGACTTCCTCCCAGGTATAGGTTTAAGGTGCCCCAATCTTACGTTTAACGTTCATCTCCACTATGAAAGCTCCTCTCTCTACCTAACCAAATTTGAAAAGAACCTACTAGGGCTACCTTCGATGTACGTTCCAAGAATGTATTAATGTGAGTTCTGGACAAGCCCAAGTCTTTTAGTATATGTAGGTTGTAGAGAGATTTCGCTGTTATAACACTCGTTCCAACTTCTACCGCTTACAAATCCACGACGAACCTATTTCGAGTGAGTTCGTTAGTGAGCTCGTAATATTTGTTGACCTTGATGGTATGGTCTTTGGGGATATTAGTTTCCCAAGGAACGGTAAGCCCTATCATCACAACGCGCTTTAATATTCGCGAATATATAAATATGTCTGGTCTCTCTGATTTTGTATTGTGTCCCATACGTATCCATCAATATAGTCCAATCGAAAGCCACTTTAAGTGTAAAGGCTTGACGTTTGATTTTATAGCCCTAGTGTCTTCTTTCCACAGATATAGCAAGTTTTTTCGGTACCTGTACCCCATCTTATTAAATTGCTTTGATCTGGGAGAGTCATGTATCTGGAAAGTCATCTCAGATAGAATTTTAGTAATGCTGGTGACCAATTATGAATTAATCCACGCAATCTCATTATTCCTTATCTATGTTAAAACTGTTTATAAAGTGTGATACG